TTAAAAATTTTAATCTTATTTAGAAGTTTGCAAGGCTGATAAGTTTTATTACTTATACAATGCAATCTCGTGAATATTTTAACTTTGAGATTAATTGACGAAAAGAGATGCGCATGCGCGCGCAATGTTCAGACTTGATATATTCTATCTAACGAGCGTGGAATAACATAAAAGGAGCGAGAGCGCGTACATCGACGCGGTGATTAATTTTCCATAGAATTGCTTGTCTTTGAAATTGGCCTCGACGCCATCGCTCTGCTCTCCTTTTCCCCGCGAATAACAGCCAGCCTCAAAGCCCCCTTCAGGACTTATTATCCGATCGCAGACCAGCAAAATGTTTGTGGTTCTGTTGGAAAACCGTGCCAAATCTGCACCATCCTCTATTTCATGTATCCAAATATACCTATATATTTATATACATATAGCGGATACATTTTACTTATATATAATATAAAATATATAGATTCTTCTCCCTCCTACATCTTTCAAAAGTGGAATATCATAAAATATAAGATTTTTTAATAATTTTTAACAAGCGGCGTCGTATGATCAAAGGCTAAATTCATTACCGGCAAGTTGACAAGTAAAAAAAGGAACGCGTTATTTTTTTCGATATGATAATGATCTTTTTTTATAACGATGGCAGTAATGTTATTATATTTTTAAAATAACAGTAACGAAACTTCATTGTTACTTTTATCGTTACTTTAATTTTTTATTATCTTTATATCTATTCAATAGATAATTTTCGCATAATTTTTGATAGAAATCTTTTATTTTAAATAGAAATTTAAATATTGAAAAATATTTTATATTTTATATCTTGGGCTACATTCTAATAATCACTGCTAATATCGAAATTTTGTAAAATTATATATATGTAACACGAACTATATATAAATTTTCAATATTGGCAACGAATATTGGAATACTCTTTCAATAACGCTTGTTTAAAAATAACGTTTAATAAAAATTTTTAATAAAATTTGCGAATTACAATTTAAATTTCTACACATATGTATTAAAAAATAAAAATATTAATAGAAAAATTATAGATTTATTATAGATATTAGAACTACACTAAAACCTCGTAATAATGCATATCTGAACGATATATAACAAGGTTGCTCCTTCACTCCAAAACAATGAAATATAAGATTTTAGTGGCTACTGTTCACTCATGCTACTCATAACACGAAAGGGATTTTTCGCGCTATTTCGAGATTCGCTATTACGAAGTTCCAGTGTATATAAAGGAAAGCTTGCTAAAGACTAGCTTAAAATTTCAAATTTTAATATTGATTGTTACAAAGATACCAGAAGGTTTGCGTATTATCATCGTGTTTTTATTCGTTGCTAATGCCAACGTTTCGTAAACCTTGCCGTTCACTTCATCAGGGCGAGAAGCACACTGATACTGAATTGATTGTTACAATTATTCATTATTGAATGTAATTTTTAAATCTATAATATCTTTAACATTACAAAAATCATTACTCTCATAAACAACACAATATCGTATTACTTTTTTTTAAATTAATAACGATAATAGTAACCAATTTACTTTTTATTTTCAACCTTAATTAATGGATTGTAAATTTTCCTAATATGTTTTGATAGTAAATTTATATAAAGTATACACTAATGCCGAAGAGAAATCAAGATAATTTTTGGTATATTCTATTATTTATCATTAGATGATGGATATAATATATTCTATATAGCTATACATAATCTAGTAGTGCACCTACATAACTAAATTATATTCATTATTTATTGAAAAAATAAAGGTTTGATCAAAAATTTTCCTGATTACTTTTCAACATTGATGTATAATTATCAAAATGTTCCGAAAACAATGTAATAATAAACTTAGCTTTTTGTAGCATAACACTTCTTGTTAAAATATTATTTTATAAAATAATTCCGTAAAAATCTTATATCTTCCGATGTTCTTTTTTTAAAAGATACAAGAGAGAAGAATATCAATTTGACTTAATGTTCTTTTGAATTTTAAACTAAAAGGTTATATCGTAGATTGCACGTAGATCTCGAAAAAGAGCTAGAATTGACAAATTATTCAATCTCCCTTTTCTCTCACAATTAGTGATAAAATTAACTATATTAATTAAAGTGATTGGCTCATCCGGAAGAAAATTGATGTTCCAGACGACAGACATATCTATCGGTTACTCTGCGGTATAGTCGGTTTTTCGATATCGTATTGAGCCTTATCAATCGAATCTCATTGGATTGTTTTAGTTACAAGCGGAGAACGCGCGCGCGTATGTAGGAATCTTTCATGTCCAGTCCTCTCAGTCGAGAGCGAAATTGGATTGTAGCGAACTCGAATATCACGTGGTTGGAAGCCTTTGAAAGGATTCCGCTCTGAACGATCGATGTGACTCCCTTCGCTTCTACGTATGGACCATATACGAAAGAATCACTAGCAATCAGTGCAGTTGTATAAAAAGTCAAAAACTTTTGCACGCGGTTGATACTATCATAGTACACGATGAAAAGAAAAACCATTCCTTTTCTACACATTAAAGACATTCACGTATGTTGCAATTACTTATTAAAAATTTATATATAATTACTTCGACTTACGAAATTTATATATAATTTATATAGAATTTTTTTGGTATCACAAGAAATTTAAAAACGAATAATTGACAATTTTATTATAATTCAATTGAAATATGAAATGAATAGAATATATTTCAATTGAATTATAATAAAATATAGAATTTTTATAATTAATTGAATTAAAAACCAATTAGTAATAAAATTAAATAGAGGACTTCATCTGTGAATTCTTCTTTCTATTTTTAATGTCGAATTTTATTAAATTTTGTTAAATGGCGTATTGCCCCTAGATAGATTTTTTCGCATACTAAATAAAATCAAACAGAATTTAATTGCATACTAAAGTACAAATTAAGGATCAATTACCGTATTGATTTCTATCCAAAGTTCTGGAAAAAAATCGAAAATTGTTAATGCATCTTGTTCGTTATATGCCATGATAAAATAATTATGAAACATATTTTGATAATAACAGTAAAAGAAAATTTGCTATAAAGTAATTATTTTATTTTTGTTTATTTTATTATTGTGTAGTATTATCTTACTGAACTTTCATTATAATTTTCAATATTTAATATTTTGTAAATTGAAATCTAAATTTAACATAAGTCTAAGGTTAATATAATTTATGTAATTCGTTTTTTATTTATAAATAATACATTTGATACAAATAAGTTCACATAGTTCTGTGATACTGTTTCCTTCCGCTTCCATGAGCTGTGAATATCTAAAGGTGCTTTATATGAAATACACAAAAACCAATTTACATGGTACATAAATATCGAGTAAATTTATCCATTCTTCCATGAAGAAATTTTAATTATTGTTTATCGACGCGTAAGAATTCGATACGCAAGTCTAAAACAAGATCAACCAATAATCTTGAATTTTTCAACATTACAATAAAAAAGCAATTCAAGAAAAAAATAATAGTATAATAATTCTGAAATATTACTGACATATCCCTTTAGTGCATAATAAAATAATTTATGATTTTAATGCTTTGGAAAAGACCGCGTCTATTAAATATGCATAAAATGAGCAGGACATTATGATAGCCATTTGCTAGCAATGAGGACAATCTGATAAATAGATCGCACATATGTCATTTAATATTACTTTATTAATAAACTAACGCGTACAATATTTCTAAAAATATGAAGGTCTATACATCTTAACTAATCTAATTAAAATTTTTGAATCTGAAATCTATTCCACGCATATCGCCTCAGTAAACAAATGAAAAATTAAATGAAAAACTATTTAATTTTTAAAGTCTCGCAAATGCAAATTTAATCTTTGGAAATAATTTATTTCATAGCATGGATTATCTAAACTGCCATAGATAAAACTCCATATTCAGTATTAAAAAATAATAAGGACGTACAATTAAGTTCTGTTTCGATGTTTTAGATTTATTCAAAATTACATGAATATTTGCTTTCACGGTAGGAAAATCGATACATATACATTCATTTTATGGAAAGCGTGTAACATATTGTGGCTTGTAGAGATCAAATTTTGGTTATAAAACTGCGACTTACTAACAAATTGTAAGGAAGGTAAACGTTGTTAAAACAATGCAAACTTTAAGAACTCGCACTAACGACGCACAACATATTATATCACACTTTAATTCCCCTTCAACAGCCCCACATAACGATGGTAGCTTCCATTAGAAGCTGCAGTGCACCTTTGTTTTCTGAGATCCTTGCAGATTCCTGCAAGAACGATGTATTTCAGAAAGGGCCCGGAGAAGTGCTTCGCAAGTAGGGCTCTCGTGTTGAATAAGAAATTTCACATTAATACCGACGAAGATACGCGGTCGAGAGACAAAGGAATGAGGTGCGAAAGCTGTATAAGATGACAAACTTAATATACCGTTCGCGTAATTTTCCGAAACGTTCGAACACATATATTTTACATGAAAACCTCGTGAAAATAATGTCGCTCACGAGAGTTTATAGTCAAGACATATAGTCTGCCGTCTCATCGTGAACTCGTTACAACAAAATGGAGCAGATAAATGATAAATGTTTAAGATAAATCTCGAGAGAGTACATTTTTAAAAACATGAAAATTAATTATTGATAACAAAACAGGTCTTCCTTTAACTTAAACATAGCCAAAAAGCTTTTTTCTCTATATTAGATTTATTTCATAATTGTATCTGTCAATATATGTAGATATATAAAAATCGCATATCTCATTAACATAAACGATGCGTTGAAATTAAATTTCAGTGTAAAATACTATAACTGTCAACGGCATTGACAAGAACGAGTATTTGATAAAGAGAAAAGTACGAGTAAAAGGTGAAAATATGAACGCTTCAAATATTCGTCGAATCCCGAAACACTATACAAACAGAATTCCAAGACGAGAATGCGATTCGATCGTGCAACGTCAACATGGATTTGCTTCCTCACGGCTATTTCAGGGATGAAGCGTTGTCCCGCCAGCTTACCAAGGTGAGCATGAAAATGCATTTGAAAGTCGAAAATGTGTCGGGAGAAAGGACAATGCAAAAGCCTTCGGCAGCTGCACCGTTATACCCTCCAGTAACCGTAATAGTGAGGAAAATGGTTTCTGCGAGGTGTGAAAATCGTAATATCAGATATAGTGAGAGAAGCAATGAGAACGCTTACTGAATCGTTGGATTCATCACACTCTTAATGGAACGTCATTTACATAATTAATATGAGTGTTGATAAAATCATAATACTGACTAAAATCTAGCATAATACTTTTTCTCCATATAAATGACTTTTAGCAAAAAATGAGAAAGTCATCACCTACACGAAAAGAATAATTTTGTTGAAATATCTAAAAATTTAGCTATATACAAATCTAAAAATAACTTTGTTGCATCAAGATAATTACATAGGATCTTTTCGTTTTACGCGAGTTTATTTGAACTTCGAAGATAAAAGCAATGTAATTTTTATGCGTAATGTATTTAGAAATTATATAACACGCGATACATGCACAGAAAAGATAGTTTTGTTGATACACATTTAAAAATTTAGCTAGATCTGAAAATAAGTTTATTGATCATTAAAATAATTATATAGGATTATAGTTGCTAGAATGTTAAAACGTTTGTTGCATTGTTCATCGTACAAGATTCTTACGTAATTATTTTAATAAAAATAATTCAACAAAATTTGTTCTATATCTAGTTATATTTTTAGAGATACTTCAACAAAACCATTCTTTTCATGTACTCGTAATAATTTATGACAATTTAAATATGCAGTCATGACATTTTACATAAGAATTTACCGTTCGTTAGTTTCTAAATATATTACTCTTCTTCACTTTTATAGATCCATATACGCTAACGGATTTGTTTTTAACTAGAATGAATTAAAGAACATTTTTATTATTTGTTTAAATATACATAAAATAATATAATTACAAATAGTTTCTCCTTGTAAAAAATTACCTTTTCGTGGTATGAATTCACGCGTAGTACACTATAAAACCTGTTTCTATCAAATTAATCCGATCATACTCGAGTAAAGCCGTTCTTTGCTCATGGCTCGACTACGAGAACGCAAAAGCCGCATGGCACGGATGGTTGGAAGTCATAACACTCGAGAGGTGCCGCCTCACAAGCCCGAAGGCGCTAAAATATCTGCCTGATATGCTCGTCAGGAATATCTCCATAAGTCACCACTATATATCTTGAAGATGAATTCTTCCAACCTGGATGTGAATGCAACTCACGCACTTCCACTAAAACAGATGGTTCTTAAAAGAAAAAAGTAAAATAGTAAGTAGAAAAGATCAATTTTATACTGACAGAATTACTTGTTATGGATACAGTAACGATTATTTGCATAATATATATCTAAGCACTTTTTATTGGGACGTTTTCCTGGAGAAAATTATATGCCTTATAATTTATTAAATATGACTTTTGATACATTAAATATTACTTTTAATATAACCTTCTTTGACTTTCATTGCATTCATAATTAAGAAGTAATGAATCCGTCATATCAGAATATATATCGTTGATTTACAAAAGTAAAATTGTAATTTTAATAAGCTAATTTGTTAATGTAATATTGTATAAACTAATTGTATAAAATTACGTTTGAAACATCAATTTTACGTCTCTTTAAACTTTGATTTCTCTATCTCTCTACAAGATGTAATTCTCTGATTAAAGCGACCTTAATCCGCCTTAGAGTGTTACGGAGATGCACTAATTCGAAAAAAAAGCAACTAAATGAGTATTTCACTAACAGTAAATAACACTATGTAAGTAATAGTCCTTAAATACATTTATACATCCAAGGAAAAATATATCTACAGTTTAATTTTTCATTAAAATTAAATTTAATAATTCAAAAATATTTATTATTAAATATTTTATTTTATTGTTTTCACAGAATTTATTTTAAAAATTTATTTTTTAAATAATAAAATAATTGTCACGTAAATTATTATTACCATATAATTAAAGATTGTAGGCGGAGATTATAAATAACATTAAAGTTTATTTTTATCCGAATTATTTAAAAAAATTGTCTTTTATTTAGTCAAACAAAATTAATTAAAACTAAAGCTGTAACTCTCGTTTAAAATCAAGAATTCTGTATTCCTTTTCTTAGCGAAAATTTATCCTTCGTCTTATTAGTTTAAAATTACATTTCTTTGCCTCAACAGTTTCTTTCGAAAATAATTCTTCAAACCATGTTCGTAAACTTCCCCAAGTTAAGAGTCGAAGTTCTATATACCGACTATCTTCAAATCTTAATTAATTTCAAGGGCATATATTACACAGCCTGGGACTTTCTGCCGGCAAAAGTTCCTTCGACTTCAGCACTACAAGCGGGTTGTTTACGCACACGTTCTACAGAACTGTCGGTTTTCTTTAACAACGATGCTCGTTCATATAAACTTTCCGACATGCGTATAGTAAGTAGAAAAATCGGAACGAAATTCTTCTATTAAAAATACGCAATACGTATTTCTTTTTAAACAAAAATCAGTAAAGACGCTGCTTGAAATCAGAGGAATATACAAGTCTCATTTTAAAGTCTTAAATAATGCAAGAGCTCTTATTCGACCATCATTGTAAAGTTTTTCATATCTAATAGAGAATTTGATTGGACGCACTCAATGCGCACTAGTGCACATTAAAGCCGCAGTATACACAAATTAATGTAAAGAATATAAATATTATAAATAAACATAGAAATCGATTAAATTGTGAAATATTCAACAGATTTTATTGTGCTGTTAGGTAAAACATATATTTTATAATTCGATATTGTATTTGCGTTTCACTTTTACACTCAAATTAAATCAATGTACAATGGCTTTAATACATACAAATGCATCCAATCGAACTCGCCAAGTAAAATAAAGTTCATCACGTTAAATAAGAAATCGACGAAATTTTTTGCCGCTCAAGGAATAGTGTTAATTCATTAATGAATGCTATTTTCAAAAGTGATGTGCCATGCGTCGGTCATTCCATTGATCGAAGAGCGATAAATAGAACTGATTTAATAGTCGCATGCATTATGTATTATCGATGGTTGTATATACAAAATCAATGCATAACGATGCATACGTATCGATGCGAGTACGATGCATCGCGTGTTCGAGCGGAATGTTCTGTGTTGTACACGTGCCCGAAAACACGCGTCGATTTGCACCAGTGAAACATTTTGACGGTCGTAATATTCCGTAAAATCTGAAAATGCTAATTGTAACGTGTTAAAATATAGATTGGCATAAATATTTCACACAATCTGACATAATAATTTGATTAATATTTCCAATATACAATTGAATTCGACGAGCGAAATAACAATCAGCAATTTTTCTAAAGCTAATAGACAATGATAAATAGGTATTTATTGAGGTACTATTAAGTTATGGATTAGTTATTTTGAACATTACGTCAAATATAACTTCATTACAAAAGCATTTATTATACATATCATAGAATATTATTGTATAATATAATAACAAAGATTTTATAAAAAAAAAATGGATATTATAATACGAAAATTTTCACCTCGATTATTTATTTACCACATTCCTCTTAAATTTTTCAATTTTTCAGTTAGTCAGAAATAGTTGTATCGATTTTATAAAACTTGCAACAGAAAAAATTACGAATTCACCAACTGACGTGCACCAAGGGAATCGATCGGGGTGCAAGGTATTGCGACTTATAGTTCGAACACGTTATGTGAGAAGACTTCAAAGGATTTATATGGACATCGCAATATCATTGAAGAGAACACTAGCCGCGGGAATACTCTACGGGCCGCAGCTCTTATTGCAAGGTGTACCACCCATGAGGGATGCAAATTAAACATAAAATGAACTGACATTCTCGACTTAAAACTGGGTCATTGAATTTATAATTCATCGCTGTGTCACGTTCTGCAGAAGCGATATTTACAGAAGGCACCACGTGCGGTCCATTTAAAAAGAAATGCCGTATACCATTGTCGCTAGTACAAAATTTATCTTGCACGTTCATTCAACATTATATTACACTTTTACTCGTGTTTTTAACATGTATTGTCCATTTTATTAAACGTCATATTGGGCATTTAGAAATAGTTCTCTTTGTATATTCTAGCTAGTCAGAACGATCATTTTACATAAAATTAAGGTATATATATATATATATATATATATATGTATATATATATATATATATATATCATTTTGAATGTTGACTGTCACAATATTCGGAACGATAGTAGTGAATTTATATCGCTAAATATGAATAATTTGCGGATCCTTTGTCTTTTGATTTTGATTGATTTTTGATATTCACGTCTTTCATGGCTATATAGATTTTTATCTGTTATTCGTGGCTACTGGAATTGTGAACCATTGCCAATAGAATAAGGAGATTGAGTTACCATTCTACCATCTCGTCATGAAGAAGTGAGAATTTTACAACATATGTTCAGAGATGATGGCCGGAACGTTTATGCGTAACTAATTATATTATAGTTTTCGACAAACGATTTTTACTAATAACTACGTAAAAAATTCTCATTAGCCCTTATTTGTTCCTATTTTTTGACATTCTCGAGAGTTTTGACATTCTCGTGGTTACTTGTTTTATTTCATATATATATATATATATATAGGGATTATTTGAAAAAGACATCGCACTTAGGACTTATCTTTTTTGTCATATCTAACCCGTTCTAGTAAAGAAAAGAATACTGTATAAACCACTGATCGGGGTCCCTCAAAACCGGATTTTCCGCTCGAGCTTAAGTCTAAGCTTAAGGGATTTTCGATTCGCTCGTATATGTATACCGTGCTATTGTTTGAGACACGTGGACTGGTATGCGTTAAGCCTTTACTTTTAAAATGGCGGAGAATTGATGTCCTCACACAAATCGATAATCGAACTTAGTACAACTTCTCGTAACATGGTGGTCTTTTGGGAACAATAAATTCTGCGAGAGGATATGAAAAACAATGTAATAAAAGCTTTTATGATTTTAGTTTAGACAAAAATAACGCGAAAAATAAATGTGTTATAAAAATCCGAATCACAATCCAAAAATCGAACAAAAATATAACATGTAAAAATATGACTTAAAAATATAGCTATTTCA